CCCCAGGGAGAGGACATGTGCTCCTGCCTTTGCCTTCCCAGCCTCCAGCCCTCCCAGGGCAAGAGCAGGTCCCATGGGGAGGAGAGAGGCCACTCACCTTTGGGAGCCATGGGGCCAGGCTCTCCCTGCAAGGAAGGTGACAGAGCATTGACCAGGGCGCACCATTCTGCAGGGTGCAGAATCTGTGCCCCTTCTCCATCCCGGGGCCAAGGCAGTGATGTGGAAACAGCCACGTTTCCCTGGGAGCCAGGGCAACTGGACCTGCCCTGTGCCCTGGGGACTCTCCCACCAGCTCCTTCTGTGAGTCCCCACCTCAGTGCCTCACCCAGACATAGGGCACAGGAGGGAGGGAATGGGGCTGCCAGACCACCTGAGCCCCCACCCCTGCAGCCAGCCCCTCTGCTCCAGCCTGCCCACCATCCATCCCTCTGGTCCTTGTCACCTCCATATCCAGCAGCCTGGCCGTGAGAGAGCCCTCCGTGACACGGCGTAATGCAGAGGAGGGTATCGGGAAGCTGGTATCCCCTTGGAGCAGCGGTCAGGGGACACCCAAAGTGCCCCCGGGCTCCCACCTGGAACCAGATGGTCCTGCCATTGCGGTCACGCAGGGAGCTCATGCCGGGCACCAGGTAACACTGCAGCCAGCCCTTGAACGCGGCGTAGTTATCCGAGTGATCCGGGTCAGAGGGGTTCTTCTCTGCGAAGGGAGAGGAGGAAAGGACAGAAGTAGAGAGGAAGCAGCAGCCACGTTGTTGAGGGCCCTCCCAAGCTTCCTGCTGTCAGGAACACCAGGCCCAGGGCTCCCCATCCTGGCGCCTCACCCGTGGCAATGACCTCCATGGGCACGGTGTGACACAGCTCCAGGAGATCCGGGTTCTCCCGCATCAGCTTCAGCTTCTTGCTCAGCGTGAGGGAGGGATTCTGCAGGGGGGCACAGGGCAGAGAGGTCACCGCTGGCAGCCAGATTCCCATCTCCTCTCGCCCTCCCTCCCCACCTGCTCCATTACAGGCTTCAAACTGCACATTAGGACGTGCCCTAAAAGACACGGAAAGGGGCAACTGCACAGGGACACCAGCAGTTTGTACAAACAGCGCTCACACCCTGCTTCTTGTTCTCTGCTTCAGTAAACCAGACACTTCTCCCCCCGAGGCCGCTCCCCCCCCGAGGCCGCGAGATCAGCCATGGGCTCTGCTGCAGCCTTCCCCAGAGGTTTTAAGCTTGTAAAGCGTTTGTTTCCCTCGTCCCTTCCTCTTCACCCACCCCAAATACACCCAGAGGCTTCCTGACAGTGGCAGAGGCCAAGCACGAGCACAGCCCAGGGGCACGTGCTGCTGGCACAGCTCGTCAGCCCAGCCACGCACGAGCACGGGGCGCACACGTGAGGTTACGGAGCGGCTCCGCTCTGCTGGGGGGGCAGACGTGCCCAGACAGGGGCTGCTCACGGCAAAGCACAGTAACGTGCCTGAGGAGAAGGAGCCCGTGCAGAAAGCGTCAGAGTGGTGAAGGGGAAATTCCCATTGTTGGGATGGGAGAGACTTGGAGCAGCAAATCACCTCCCGACAGCGGTGAGCTGGGGGGGTGAGAGCTCTGCGGGGGCCAAGGGATGATGTTCTGCCCCATTGGAGCAAGGAACCAAACACGAACTGAAACTGGCTCCTGGGCTGGAACAAGCCCAAAACAGTCGACCTGAACCAGAGCTTTGTGCCCAGCTAAGCCCAAAGCCAGGGCAGAGCAGCCACTGAGTCCAGGTTGGGAGCCACCTCCACGGCTGCTGAGCCTAAACCCCAATGGAGAACGCTCCTCAGCTCAGTGTGGCTCCCTCCCAGGAGGAAAGAGGCTGCTGGAGTGGCTGGGATGTCCCACAGGGCCGCGGGCAAAGAAATCCCTGGTATGGCCTCTGGCTGGAAACCGGCCCCTTTCTGAGGGTGTTCCTCACCTTCTGCCTCCTCTCCTGCTCCTGCTCCTTCAGGGCCTCCAGCACAGTCCGAGCCTTTTCAAAGGGAGGGATCTTCAACCTGAGAGAGTCACAGAACCCCAGACTGGTTTGGGTTGGAAGGGACCTTAAAGCTCATCCAGCTCCAACCCCTGCCACGGGCAGGGCACACCTCCACTAG